ATGACCTGAGCTGAAGTTGCCTGCTTAACCAGCTGGGCTATCCAGGTGCCCCAAATGTCCGACTCTTGATTTCAGCTCAGGTCATGATCTCACAGTTTGTGAGATTGAGCCTCATGTTGGGCTTTGCATTAACAACATGGAGCCTGCTTGGGATTCTCTCTCCCTCTCTCTCTGCCTTTCCCTCTCTCTCTTTCAAAATAAATAAATAAACATTAAAAAAAATATAATCCCACTACTAGGTATTTACCAAAGAAAAGAAAAACATTAATTCAAAAATATAGATGTTCACTGCAGTATTATTTACAAGAGCCAAGATATGGAGGCAACCTAAGTGTCCATCAGTAGATGAGTGGGTAAGGAAAATGTGGTATATGTACACAATGGAATATTACACAGCCATAAAAAAGGATGAGATTGTGCCATTTGAAATAACATGGGTGGACCTAGAGGGTATTATGCTAAGTGAAATAAGTCAGACTGAGAAAGACAAATATATGATTCTACTTATAAGTGGAATCTTTAAAAAAAATGGATAAATAAACAAAAAGCAGAATCAGACCTGTAAGTACAAAGAAAAACCTGATGGCAAGGAAAAAAAAAAAAGAAAACAAAAAAACCTGATGGCTGCCCGAGGGGAGTGGGTGGGGGGTATGGGCAGCATGGGTGAAGGAGAGTGAGAGATACAGGTTTCCAGTTATGGAATCAGTAAGTTATGGGAATAAAAGGAATATGGTCAATGGTATTATAACAGTGATGTAATGGGACAGATGGTAGCTACACTTGTGAGCACAGCATAATGTATAAACTTGTCAAATCACTAAGTTATACACCGGAAACTAATATAATATTGTGTTTCAACTACACTGAAATTAATAAAAATTCCTGCTCAGTGTAGGCATTTTGAAAAAATGCAAAAAAGTACAAAAGTTATTGAAGCCCTATATTCAAGGATAACCTAATTGAATTGTAATTATATCCTTTCGCCTTTTTTTTCCTATGAGAGATCTTTTAAAAAGGATTATACCAGTATTTGTGATCTTTTCTCTTAGTTCTCATGCACATGAAATGGACAATAAGCAATTTTGGAAAGTCTACTATGAACATCTAGAAAAAGCAGCTCTACATGCTGGTATGTAAGGGGAAGTGAAAGGGAGGCTGGGGAAAAAAAGGTGGTTTAACTATTTAATTTTTTACTGCTTAATTGTGCATGAAATCAGGAAACAGAAATGAGTAATGTACTATCCTGATAACCTTTGGATATATTTTATTGTTTCCTCATATTACTAGAGCTAGAAACACCCTCACATGAGGAGACCCAGAGGACAAATGTTAACATTTCTCTAGTGGTTCCAATGACTTTTTTTCTTGCAGAGAAAGAGCTGCAAAATGATGTAAGAGATGAGAAGTCCATTGGAGATGAAAGTTGGGAGCAGCCTCAGGAAGGAGATGTTGGAGCTCTTTATCATGAGCAGTTAACATCAAAAACTGACTGTCAGGAAAGACTGGACCACACCAACTTCCGATTTTTGCTCTGGCGAGCTCTGGCAAAATTCCCAGAGAGGGTAGAGCCACGGTCCAGGGAGCTTTCCCCACTTTTCCTGAGATTTATCCAGTAAGTATTCCTTTCCAGGAGTATGTCCCTGGTAGAGTATGAGGAAGAGAAGATGTGAAGTCTTCAACTCCCAAGTAGGCTGTTTTTTTAGTATGTCCATCACATTTTCAAACCATTGGCTCATCTGTAAAGCACTGGCTCTCTCAGATAACAGCTAGTTTTTTTTTGCCACTTAATTTGACACCAGTTAAAATGTAACCATGCCACAAATGGTGTTAATAAAAATTCCAAGTTAAAAAAAAATTATAGGGGCAACTAGGTGGCTCAGTTGGTTAAGTGTCTGACTTCGGCTCAGGTCACGATCTCATGGTTCATGGGTTTGAGCCCCACATTAGGCTCTGGGCTGATAGCTCAGAGCCTGGAGCCTGCTTTGGATTCTGTGTCTCCCTCTCTCTCTCTCTGTCTCTCTCGCTCTCAAAAATGAACATTAAAATTTTTTTTATTTTAAATTAAAAAATATAAAAATAGAAATTCCGGGTTACAGGGGCGCCTGGGTGGCTCAGTCGGTTAAACATCCAACTTCAGCTCAGGTCATGGTTTCACAGTCCGTGACTTCGAGCCCCGCATCCGGCTCTGTGCTGACAGCTTGGAGCCCGGAGCCTGCTTTGGATTCTGTGTCTCCCTCTCTCTGTGCCCCTCCCCCGTTCATGCTCTGTCTCTCTCTGTCTCAAAAATAAATAAACATTAAAAAAAATTTTTTTTTAATTGCAGGTTACAAAATAAGAAAGGCTTGTTGAATTAGATTAGCATACAAAGGCCTTGTTATTTTTTGCCTTGTTGTTTCATTGCCTTTCTTGGGGCTTTAACGTGTTTTCCAGAAACCCAGCCCCAGCCACTGTGTTGTCAGCCTGCTTATGTTTCCTAGGATGCTGAGGGGGAATGTACTTTGTATGTTACTACAGAATAACAACTTTCTGGAGCATTGTTTTGTTTTGAGTAGTTAGTTGGATGACTTTAAAACTCTAAAGATACGGGATGTGATGTACAGAACAGGACTAATCATCAACGAAGAGTATGTTTTATAGTAGTATTTCATTATATGGGAAAGTGTCATATGTGTAACTTAAGCAGGCTACAAACCACAGCATGCTTGGCTTGTTCAAAGAACAGCAAGAAAGTCTGAGTGGCTATAGCAGTGACCCTGGGAGAAAATAGTAAAGATTAGGCCAAAAACTTAACAGGAGACCAAATTGTGTAGGGCCTTCAAGTGACGGTAAAGGACTTGTTTTTTTTCTGTTAGTGAAATGGAAAGACATCAGAAGGTTTAAACAGAGGTGACATGACTTAAGATTTCTTAAGGATTTTTCTAGCTGTCATGTCAAGAATAGACTGTGGGTCGGTCAGAGCAGATAGACCAGCTTCAGAGATTATAAAGTCCGGCAAGAAATGTGGGTGACTTGACCAAGGTTGTAGTAGTACAGCTGATGAGGAGTGGTTGAATTCTGCTTATTCTTGGAAAGATTTCAAGTCAGTAAAATATATTTGGGGGGGATTACACTTAGAACAGCCTGTGCAATTTGGTCAGCCAACAGATCAGATGTGTAAGTGTTTGGGGGAAAAGGGGGAATGTTGGTACAGGAAGGTGAAAGGGGAGGAATTGGGTATGTCTCCAAGGTTTTGAGCTGAGCAACTGGAAGAAGAGAGTCACCATTTACTGAGATTGGGAGGAAAGCACATGTTTGCAGATTTGTGGGGGAGATCAGGAATTCATTTTTCTAGGTGTTATGTTTGGGATACTGAATAGCCATCTAAATAGGGATGTTGAATAGGCAGTTGAATTTGAAGTTTAAAGTTGGAGGGAAAGGTTTGGCCTAAAGATTATAAATTGAGAATCATCAGTATAAACATGATTTTTAAATCGTGAGACCAGGAATGAAGCTACACCTAAGGTGTAAATGTAGAGAGAGAAGACTTCCAAGGACTGATAGCTGAGATTTAGAAGTTGGGAGATAAGGAGCCAGCAAAGGAAGCCAGAAAGAGTGAGAGAAGAACCAAGACCATGTAGCATCCCAGGTGCCACGTAAAGAAAGCATTTTGAAGAGGGAGTAATTAGTTGGATCATACATATCTGAGATGTCAGTCAGATAAAGCATAAGAATTGATCATTGGCTTTAGAAGGCATCTTAACAAGAGTTGTTTTGGTTAACCTGGTAGGGATGAAAGCCTGATTAAAATGAGCTTAAAAGGAAACAGAACTAAAAATGAAAACAGCAAGTGTGGATAGTTCTTGTAAAAAAGAAGCAGACAGGTGGAGGGTGATGTGGGAGTGGAGAGAGCTGCTGTTAGTAAGTAGGTTGCTGTTTAAGATATAAGCAGCGCACCTGTGTGTAATGCTGGTGTTGTGAATGATCCAGAAAGGAGGGAAAATTTGTAATGTAGGAGAGGGAATAAAATTGCTGGAGTCATGTCTTTGAATAGTTAAGATAGGATCCAGTGCATAAGTAGAAAAGTTTATATGAATAATTCATTCTGGCAAAGGTTACAAACAAAGATTCAGGCAGGTCAGTAGGTTCCATGGTGGAAGAGTAATGATTTTTTCACCTAATTCTTCAGGCTTCAATTTATTTATAGCATGAAAACAATATTTAGCTTCCCTGCCTTGTTTTGAAGATCATATAAAATAATGTTTATCAGTTGTTTTGTGTGCTACAAAGAGCTATACATATGGAAGCAAGTACTAATGGTGTTAACAGGAAATAAATTTCCTGCTCTGTTAATTTTCTAAATTTTTCCCTAAAGAAAGAAAGGGATTACTAATAGATTCCTGGGGATGGAGAGAGGAGCCTGTAAGATGTCGTTTCTGAGTTTAAGAAGACTTAGAGACTATAGATACACAATATTTTTTTAAAAGATACACAATTTAAAAAATATTTAACATTAGTTGGCAAGGATTACCCGTGGCAAATACTTTTATAGATGATCCAAACTAATGGAAAATGCAAATGTCACCTTTCATTTTGACTTTGAAATATATTATGGGCTTTTTATTTTATTTTTTTTACTAGAAATTTACATTTCTAAATATGTTTCCAACAATTCAGTGTTAGAACTAATTTGTGAATCCCTTGTAAACAAACATTCTTTGAGAAGAACCAAACCAGAGGCAGGAGTGACTAACAATGACAATACCTTGATAACAGGTGACATCTAAAGAGTCCCTGCTGTGTGCTAGAAGCACTCTTGTGAGTGCTCCGTGTGAGTTATCTTACTTAACAAACACTAGTGAACATGCTGTGCATGGAGATATAGTTTAAAATTTATGTTCTATATGGTTAACTGAGTGTTGGGATTATAGTGGGGGTGCTGTTCAGTAGATGATGGTATGGTTTGTAACCGACACAGCAACCTTGTTCATTTTATTTATTCGTCTGCCTGGTAGGTATCAAGTGCTAGATCCTGCTGGCTGAAAATACAGAGTTGACTATAGTAAAGTGTCCCAGCTCTCCAGGGCTAGTTTTGTGTATTCACCTGGAGTTTAACGTGTGTTGACCTGGAGTGTCTTCCAGGTGTGCTGGGAGGGTGCTACCCTCAAACATGTTATTTTATCAGTGTATTTTTGAGTACAGACTTTAAAGCCTGTCTGATCGATTTCCTTGTGTCTGTAGCCCAGTGCCGTCCATGCACAAAACAGACCACAAATGAACAAGTTGTTGGATGATGGAATTAAAATGACTCAAAAGCAATGCACTCTGTGGCAGCCTTCAAAATAATATTAGTTACTTGAAATATCAGACCAAAATTAAAGGGATGGAATCTAAATAAAAACAAACGTGAATAGGAATTGGATAAGCTTAGTTTAAAGAGGCAAAACACAAATACTTTGTGATTTTCATTACCTGGACATTCAGTTTGAGTCTGTGTCATGCTGTGTCTGCCCCTGAAAGCAATGGAGTTGACAGTCCACCTGTCTTACCAGACCACGTCCAGAGGACTGAATTTTGCTGTGGCACTATATTTGCAAAAGGACATTGGCAAAGTATAGTGGGTCTGGGTGAAAGTGACTGGCATGGTCTTAGTGCTATGCTTTCCTTATTTAATAAAATCCACCCCTATACCCACCTCCCCCAGTTACGGTTCCAGAGACAGAGAGACTGATTTCAGCTCAGGCCAAAAGAGATTTTTCAAATATTTTTAACAGTGTAACAGTGGGATTTTAAAAGTGTAACTGCAATTAATGGTAGGTTTGCCAAACCAGGTACTTAAGAGGGGCTGAATAAGAAAGAATCATGTGAGGAGGTTTGGCTAAGGTGCCCCTGGTGACTCTTCACTGTGTGACTCTGAACCATGGACGTACATCCATCTGTCACAAACAGAATTAGGACAACTCCACTTCATCTCTTTCTCCTGTAGCAACGAGTATTACCCAGCAGACCTGCAGGTCGCTCCCACCCAGGATCTGCGCAGGAAAGGGAAAGGGGTGGCCGTGGAGGAGACTGAAGAGGAACCCGATGCTGGAGATGACGAAGAGCTGGAGGAAGAAGTGGTGCCCATGGGTGAGCCCTCACAGAAGAAAAAGACCAGAAGAGCTGCAGCAAAGTAAGTTCAACATTGCTGGAAGATCACAGATCCAGGGTTCTGGGAGAAACGGGAAGAGACCTCTGATGGCCTAAGTGTGACATAGCTAGCCTTGGACAAGACGAACCACTCAGATAATTACTCAGAGGAGTGCTGCGTCACCTTGCGATTTTCTTTTGCAGCCCAAAGAAACCTGCCAGTTTTCCGAGTTTTTTGGTTGCTTATTATTACGTATTTTGCCCCTGACTTGAGTTGTCGGGATTTTGGGGGTCATCTAATCATAAGTGCTTTTTATCGACAAGAGCATTGGTCCTCGAGTGGTTGAATGCTCTTTGATCTTTGTCCTTCACTCTCATGGCACCAGGGTGTTATTTTGTGTGCTAGTGGAACACGTAATGGAACATCTCTTATAAATCTGTCAGCGCTTTTGCCTTTTGACTTGTCCCTACCCCTTGCCCCCATTACATTCTCTTTCCTGTCATCTGGGGTGTTCACTTACGTAAATTGTTAAGAAACCTCAGAAAAAGTAGAAGTGATCAGGCTTTCAGAAGTTACTGCAGCTTCCTTGAAGACTCTGCATTGAGGCTGCAAGGATCCAGTGTATTGGTGCTACCGTGTTATTTTAGCACTTTATAAATCTCAAACTGATCTGCCTATTCAGTCTTCCCACGAGCCTTTTATTGGTTCATTCAGCAGCTGTTCTGAGTGCATTTTGTTAAGTGTTGGGCTTCAAAGCTACACAGGAAGCACAGTCTAATACCTGGTCAAATTTTTTTATAGAAGAAGTATTTTTAAAGGAGTTTTAGGGCAGGACAAATCCAAAAACAACGACAAAAACTGAGTCCTAGGATCATAGTGAAAAATGACTTAATTCTATCACAAAGAGAAGATTGTTACAAAGGAGAGGCCCCACTGAAGCTGAAAGATGAAAGAAAGCCTGCTGGGCAGCTAGGGCAGGGAAGGACTTGGCAGCTAATGGAAATAGTGTGAGAGCGCCTGAGTGGCTCAGTCAGTTAAGTGTCTGACTCTTGATTTCGACTCACATCATGATCTCACCTGAGTTGGTGAGTTCGAGCCCTGCATCTGGCTCTTTGCTGACAGTGCAGAGCCTGCTTGGGATTCTCTCTCTCTCTCTTTCTCTCTCTCTCTTTCTCTCTTTCCCTCTCTCTTCCTCCCTCCCTCTCTCCTCTCCCCCCCCTCTCTTTTTGCCCCTCCTCCCCTGTGTTCTCTCTCTCTCTCTCTCTCTCTCTCTCTCAAAATGAATGAATGAATGAATGAGATAGTGTATAAAGCATAGGGGCAAGAAAGAGTGTGGCCATGCTTCCTGAAACTAGTTCCTTTTGTTTCTGCCTTCTCATAACTCTGAGCGTTCTGTCCCCTACTACTTTCTCCAAGACCAAGATTGCTGTTTTCTTCTTCGTATCCTCAGCACACAGCTAGCAAAAGATTAGTCCTCGTATTTCTTTGTTGAATAAATGAATAAGCTACTTATCCAGTCATACCTCTTTCTTTCTTACCTCTGGACCTTTGCTGTGTCCTCCCCTCTTTCTGCTGTGCCTTTGCCTCACACCTGCCAACTGAAATTCTACTCATGCTTCCAGAAACTGTTCTGTGCTACTTCTTTACAGAAGCTTGTCCTGTCTTTTAAACTGAAAGTTCTCTTAACTCAGCTTCAGACTCAGAGCAGCCATTTCATGCCTCTATCATGGTGCTTCTCCTTGCCTTGGATATTAATGAATTTTTTATAGATCTGCCATATAAATCAGAATGTCTTTTAAGGATAAGGTTCACGTCTTAATTTTTCTGCCCCCTGTAGCCAAACTTAGAATATTGCTAACATACACCAGTTAAAATGTGAGGGGGACGCCTGGGTGGTTAGGTCAGTTAAGCATCTGACTCTTGATTTCAGTTCAATGATGTCAGTGTTGTGAGTTCAAGCCCCTCACTGGGCTCCACACTGGTTGTGGAGCCAACTTAAAAAAAAAAAAAAAAGGAAAAGAAAATTTGAGTAAATTGGTACTCACATTCCTGTGTCATCTCAATAAATTCATAGTCCCGAGTTTGTAATCCTTCATGGAACATGGTCCTTGCTAGCAAGTATTTATTGAGAACATACAAATTGGTTCCTGTTTTCTTTGGCTCTTTAAGGCCACATGGAGCATAAAAAAATAATACATGTTGGGGGGAAGGAGTAGGTATTTTCAAAGAAAATTTTAAAAGTTTATTTGTAAAACTGTAAGGAAGGGCTCAGTGATAAGTATATATGGACATTGTATCAGACTTCTCTAGAGAAGCAGACCAACAGAATGAAGGTGTGTGTGTGTGTGTAAAGATTTATTTTAACGAATTGGCTCATGTGATTATGGGAGCCAGTAGGTCCAGAATTTGTAGGGCAAGATGGCAAGCTAGAAACTTAGGCAAGATTTGGTGCTATAGTCTTGAGCACAAAATTCATAGACTGGGATTTCTATGTCACAATTTTATGGCAGAATTCCTTCTCTGAGAAATACCTGTTTTTGCTCTTAAGGCCTCATTGAATGAGTCCGATCCACATTATTGAGGGTAGTCTCCTTTATTTAAAGCCGACTGATTTTGTCAACATCTACAAAATACTTGCAACACCTAGATTAGTGTTTCATTACATAACTGACTGCTGTAATTTAGACAGGTGGACACATAAGACTAACCATCACAGGTATGGAGGCTAAATAAGCACGAGTGCTACCCTTATCCCCATTTCTCCATAATATGTAAAGAGGTCCTAACTTCAAGATTACTTTCTCTGTTAATAGAGTCCCGTAGGACTTTTACAGTTTTGCATTCTTTTGCCCGGGAGCAGAGGAGGAGCACTGTTTACTAAACTCTTAGGAGCAGAGTCCCCACAAGTTTGGTTCAATCCTTGCAGGAAATCCAGGAGGTGGTATCTTTGCCTGAATGAGGAAACTGAGACTCTGAAACATTAAGTCGCTTTCCCCAAAGTCAGCATCACCTGTGCAGCATGGTTTCTATCTCTCTTCACTTCTCCCTGCTTTTAGTCTTGAAATAGGCAGATAAAACCTCTTCAAATCGGAACGTTTGTTCATTCAGGTTTTTTTTTTTTAAGCCCTATACAGCTTATAAATTATACACAGAGAGAAAACAGTTTGTTTCCCAAGTACTATTTTAAAGCCTCATTGGGGCACCTGGGTGGCTCAGTCGAAGTGTCCAACTTCGACTCAGGTCATGATCTCACTGTTCCCAAGTTGGAGCCTCACGTCGGGCTCTGTGCTGACAGCTCAGAGCCTGGAGCCTGCTTCAGATTCTGTGTCTCCCTCTCTGTCTCTGCCCCTCCTGCTCTCGTGCTCTGTCTCTGTCTCTCTCTCAAACAAACATTAAGAAAAAAAAAATTTTTTAAGCCTCATGAAGCCTATGGATTAGGAAGTTGAGCGAGTCACTGAGCTCTCTTCTCAGCCTCTTTTATTGGATGTAGTGGATGATCTAAGTGGCTTGGAGGCAGTCCCATATCCATATTTAACTTTTGACCACAGAATATTGTTCTTTCTTACTCCTTCTTGGTAACCAAGAGTCGTGGTTACCCAAACATGGACCTCTGTTTCCTGACATCAGTGTTCATGTTTTATGAAAGTGAGGAAGATTATATTTCACCATCTTCTTGTCTACTGCATCGAAACTAGACAAGGAATCATTTCAGAAATTACCTGTGTTCAACTTTGCAATGTATTGCTGTTTGATTACTTCCCATGTTTGGTTAATTTAAACCATTCGAAGCATATCCTGAATGATTTTCTGGGGGAGAGCCTAGATTTCAAAGGAAGGCCTGCGTGAGATTGAGAATTTCTGTAGAATAATTTCCTAAATGCAAATAATTAAAACTTGTTTGTGAGTTAACAGTGAAACCATAGTCAAGGTGTTTGGCATAGTTGTCAGAGAGACTAAAATTGGTGGGCACTATCATCTTAAGAAAATCTCTGTTCTTTAATTCTGTGTTGCCTGTGGTTTTTGTTTTTTGTGTTTTTAGGCAGTTAATTGCTCATTTGCAAGTTTTCTCAAAGTTTTCAAATCCACGAGCCTTATATCTAGAATCCAAATTATATGACCTGTATCTTCAGGTAAGTAAAATAAATTCTTGCCACTCTAATTCTTTGTGAAATTTTCTCTTGTCATTTACTTTATCAGAATAACTTTTAGGTTTTTAATAATTGTTAATAAATAGGGCCTATGTCTACCTTTCCAGTACAATGTTTTAAAAGTTAATAATTATTTTCTGTATCTTGAGAAACAGTTTTAGACAGTACTGATTTTGTTGGTATTAAAGACATCTTGGGTAACATTGATCAGCTGTATTAACAATGGGTTTGTGCCAAAAGAAGCTAGCTACTTTTCCTTTTACATAAATTGGTCTTACGGAGTGCTGGAATTTCAGGATCTGTTAGATTGAGTGAAAGCTGATAGTTGGAATAAGAATCTGTTGCAGTCACAATATATGATCTTCAGTTACAGAAGAGATTGTAGACGAAATTTAATGCCAGAAGCTGAGTAAGCATTGGTTGTCATTCTAGGCCATAAGGGGAAACAAAATTTCCTTTTTTCATTTGGATGTTTCTTAACGGGAGACTTATATGATTTCAGCAGAATTTATCTTCATTCTGCCCATTACTCACATATAACTTCCCATGGTATATGTGACTTCATTAATTTATTCTATAAAATATCATTCTTAGCTGTTGCTACATCAGGATCAAATGGTGCAGAAAATAACCCTGGATTGTATAATGACATATAAGCATCCACATATCCTCCCTTACAGGTAAGTTACTTGAAGCTAAAGAAATGCTGTTTCTTTGGCTGATTTTTATCTTTCTACCTGAGAGCCTTTCTAAAATAATTTTCTGAAGGCCTAGGAAATTTCCCTCTTTTCTACCATAATCATAATGCTATTTTCAAGTAATAAATGAAAACTGAAAGTATATTTGTGTGTTAAGAGTGATTCTTCATCAGTAATAAGGTAGGAAAGAGAATATTAATTGATATGTGTTGAGAAGGTTATATCATGTTGCTTCAGTAACGCCAAAATCTTGGTGATTACGCAGGGAATCATAATGATCTCTCTCTGTAAGAACAAAGGAAAGCTTTTGTATGAATCTCTTTGAAACAGCTGAGTTATTGACTGTTACTTCCTTATAGTCACTTTTACCTTTTAAAATTTGAAAGCCTGGGGCGCCTGGGTGGCGCAGTCGCTTAAGCGTCCGACTTCAGCCAGGTCGCGATCTCGCGGTCCATGAGTTCGAGCCCCGCGTCAGGCTCTGGGCTGATGGCTCAGAGCCTGGAGCCTGTTTCCGATTCTGTGTCTCCCTCTCTCTCTGCCCCTCCCCCGTTCATGCTCTGTCTCTCTCTGTCCCAAAAATAAATTAAAAAACGTTGAAAAAATAAATAAATAAAAAATAAAATTTGAAAGCCTGTCATTTTGTGAAAATTTTCCTTTATGGATATCAACCACAATATGGGTATTCTTAATACCTGTTTCAGTTTTTTGGATTACTGTACTATATTGCATTTTTTAAAGGTACCATTGATTATTAAATGATGATTTGTGCTGTATTCTATTTTTAAAGGGAAAACTTACAAAGATTGCTTGAAGACCGAAGCTTTAAGGAAGAGATAGTGCATTTTAGCATTTCTGAAGATAATGCAGTAGTGAAAACAGCCCACCGAGCAGATCTGTTTCCCATTCTGATGAGGTATTTGTACTGTTTACAACTGATTTTTTTAAGTTGATCACAAAAACAGTTGTGAATGGAGTATTATGATTCTTTCATTTATAATCATATGATTATTCCTTCAGCTATAATTTTTTCAATTATAATGGAATATTTCACTTTTTATTTTATTTTGATTTTTTTTTTAATTGGACCTTTTGGAGAAGTCAAATTGTTATAGAAACTTACTTGAAAATAATTTGTCCCTGGGGCATCTGGGTGGCTCAGTTGCTTAAGAGTCCCAATTCTTGGTCTCGGCTCAGATTGTGATCTCACGGTTTGTGAGTTCAGGCCCCGCGATAGGCTCACACAGTGGTGGTGTGGAGCCTGCTTGGGATTCCCCCCACCCCTCTCTGTCCTTCCCCTGCTTGCATTCTCTCTCTCAAAATAAATAAATAAACTTTAAGATAAGATATAAAATAAACTTTGTCCCTAACATAAAGAAAGATCTTGCCGTGGAGTTATTTTAATAATAATGTTAAAATTAAATCCAGTATTCCTCTAAATTTTATTGAAAAATAGTAAAAATAATTCATTCATTTGGTATGTAACTAATTATGATTATAAAAGCTATTGATTTTTGGTGTTGATAATGTAACCACCCACAGTACAGACCTTTGTTATATTCATTTTAATAGTTTTCATTGGATTTTCTTGGTTGAAAAAGTAATCGTTAATAACAGTCATTAAATTATTAGTCTGCTGTTTAAAAAAAACTCCTTAAGGTTCCATTTTACTCGAAATAAAGTAGGAGGTCCTCACTCCTCCTTCGAGGGCCTGGTATGACCTCCCTGCAGCCTGCCTGTCCAGCCACATGGTTTCCATTCACTGCCCCCCTCAGAGCCCACTTCCAAGTCTGTGGACCTGCTCATCTCTGTGCTCACAACACAACTTGGCTAGCTCTTCTTCTTCACTCAGTCTTCTCTCCGATGTCATGTTGTCAGGATGCCTTCCTTGACCACTTTGTGTAAAATCGCACCTTCCTCTAACCACCCTTTAGTCCCCTGCCTCGCTTTATTTTTCCTCATAATTGTCCGGCATATCCTCTTTCTTATCACTTGTCTCCCCTGACAGAAGGTACTCCATGGCCTGTAGTAAATGTTAGTCAAATTAATTTTGTCTTTTATGGTAAAAACAAACAAGCCTTATTTTTTCTGTTTTTTAAATTTACATATCACCTACACAGAGTAGAAGAATGAACTGTGGTGGTAGTGGTTGTGGTTATCCTTGTCTTGCTGCCATATTTAACAGTAATGCTGCTAGAGCAGCCCTTCTTGAAGTGTAGTCTGCCCCTTCTTGGCGGGGGCTGTCGCTGAGATGCTCTCAGGCGGTCTGTGAGGTTAAGACTTTTTTCATAGTACTACTAAGACATTACTTTTTCCCAGCATGCCGATATTTGTGCTGACGAGGCAGAAGCAACTTCTGGTGCCCCACGACTAATCAGGACAGTGCCTCCTAACTGTACCAGCCATTCTTCATTACCACACACCCGGAGTTAAAAAAATCCTGGTTTCATTAATGTTCTTGGTGAATCTTAAACCTTGAGTACTCATCTTTTTATTGTCTTGTATGACAAAGTAGGAAATGTGCATAAAGCACTTCTGCTGAATACTGGTTGTCTCATTGAATGGCCTATTTTCCAAATTACCGATGCGTGTTACAGAATCACTGGTGGGTAAAGATCCATTCAAAGTGCAAGATAGACAGATGGAGATTAAGGTAACAGATCACAGAGTTTATGAATATGTTTCAGATTGCACATTGCAACTAGCCTTTTTTTTTCAACGTTTTTTTTTTGTTTTTGTTTTTGTTTTTATTTTTGGGACAGAGAGAGACAGAGCATGAACGGGGGAGGGGCAGAGAGAGAGGGAGACACAGAATCGGAAACAGGCTCCAGGCTCCGAGCCATCAGCCCAGAGCCTGACGCAGGGCTCGAACTCACGGACCGCGAGATCGTGATCTGGCTGAAGTCGGCCGCTTAACCGACTGCGCCACCCAGGCGCCCCAAATGCAACTAGCCTTTAAGAAACTACCGCTTGTTGGGGCGCCTGGGTGGCTCAGTTGGTTAAGTGTCCGACTTCAGCTTGGGTCATGATCTTACGGTTTGTGAGTTCGAGCCCCGCATCAGGCTCTGCTGACAGCTCAGAGCCTGGAGCCTGCTTTGGATTCTGTGCCTCCCTCTCTCTGCCCCTCCCCTGCTCATTCTCTCTCTCTCTCTCTCTCTCTCTCTCCCTCTGTCTCTCTCAAAGAATAAATAAACATTAAAAAGAAAATTAAAAAAATAGAAAAAATGGAAAGTACCACTTGTTGAAGTTTGGTGTAGTATCAAAGTGCAATATCCACAGTTATCACAAAAGAATTATCTGAAAGTTTACAAAATATGTTTCCTTTCCCCACCTGCATATCTGTTTAAAGTCTGGATTTTCTTCAACTACAATACGTTGCAATTGATTGAATGCAGAAACGGATAGGAAAATCCAGTTATCTTCTAATAAGCAAGATAGTAAAGAAATGTGAAAATAAGTAAAAAAATATAAGTAAGTCTAGACTCACTAAGTTTTGGTGGGGAGAGATTTGGAAAATAAAATTATTTTTTATCAAAAATATTACTGATGGTAACCCATTTTAATTTCTACTATGATAAATATCAATAGATAAAACTCATACAAAAGCTCTTTGGGGACCTCAAAAATGTTTAAGAGTATAAAACACCCCAATCTAATAGGTTTTGCTAGTGATTCTGTCTTGCATTTCTGGGATACTTCTTATTTAGCTTTAATATTGTTTTAATGCATTACTGGATACTGTAATTAGAAATGAGTATTATGAGGCACCTGGGTGGCTCAGTTGGTTGAATGTTCGACTTCTGCTCAGGTCATGATATCACAGCGTGTGAGTTTGAGCCCCTCATCAGGCTATGTGCTAACAGCTCAGAGCCTGGAGCCTGCTTCGGATTCTGTGTCTCTTGCTCTCTCTGCCCCTCCCTCACTTGTGCGTGTGTACATGTGTTCTCTCTCTCTCTCTCTCTCTCTCTCTCTCTCTCAAAAATAACCACTAAAATTTTTTTTAAAAAGAAATGGGTTTTATGTTTATAAGCAAGAGTGGTATATAATTTTATTTTTGTTCCTAGCCCAACTCAATATCTTAGTTATACCACCTTCATAAATGAAAAAGGACTGTTCCTTCTTTCTCTCAGCTATGAAACTTTATAGCATAGCAATTAGTTTTCTTTGACAGTTTAAAAAATTCATCTGAAAAACTGTATAGGTTCCATGTTTACTCATGATTACTGTTCTATTCAGGTTTTCTTAAGTTCCTTTCACTTACTTATGTGTTTTGGCTTTTTCTTGCCCAGGAAATTCCCGATTTAATTGAAATCTTGCCAGTTTCCTTATTTTACTTAGAGTTGAATTCACTTATTTCCTTTTAATCTGTATATTATTGTTTTCATTTTTCCTTGATTAGATATACCTTTGGCTTGCCTATTTTACTGCTTTTTTCTTCGTATAAAGAACTACCCTTTGGCCTTTTATCTTTATTATTTCCTTCCTCCTGCTTCCTTCAGCCTTGTTTTTTGTTGTTGTTCTTCTAAATTTTATATGTTAAATAACTAATTTCTGTTTTCATCTTTCCTTATTTTATAATATATCCTTTTAAGTCCGTTGACTTGCTGTTCTTGGCTTTTAGGAAAACAAAATGACTAGAATTATGTTTTAGGATTAATGTGCAAAGAAAATAATGTTCTCTTAATTAACTTTTTAGGATTTTGTATGGCCGAATGAAAAATAAGACTGGGAGTAAAACTCAGGGGAAATCTGCCTCAGGGACCCGCATGTCCATTGTTCTGAGATTCCTTGCTGGGACCAAACCGGAGGAGATCGAGACATTCTTGGACCTGCTATTTGAACCTGTGAAGCACTTCAAGAATGGTAGCTCTCAACTCCCTGCTACTCTGAATGTGTGTTGTCTGCTGTAGATTTCTGATGTCTCAGGCTAAGTCTCCTGTGCTCTTGGACATCTTTCTCATGGACTGTTCCTCCCAGTCTTGATGGTAGACTTTTGGCTGAAATGGAATTCATTTGAAATTTTGATTGAATTAAGCAAAGCTCACACTGATCCTGAGGGTCGTCAGCATCCATATGTCAGTAAGCCCCTGATTAGAAAATGTGTATTTTTCAGGGGGAGCCTGGCTGGCACGGTCGGTGGAGCATGTGACTCTTGATCTCAGGGTTGTAAGTTCAAACCCCACGTTGGGTGTAGAGATTACTTAGAAAAAATAAGATCTTTAAATTAAAGGAAGGAAAGAAGGAAGGAAGGGAGGAAGGAAGGAAGGAGAGATAATGTATTTTGATTGTTGTTGTGCATTTAGGCCATTTGAAAAATGGTACTTACGCATACACAATGAATATGTTTCTCCTTAGAAACTTAAAGCATGCTGATGAATTAATTTCAGTTGTCTTGGTATTTAGTCACTCACTAAGTCATTCATCTATTGAGTAGTGATTAATTGAATACCTCCTGTACCCTGGACACTTTTCAATAATCTCTGCTCTCAACCTCACCGTCTAAGTGCAGTGAATGTAATAAGTATATAAAAATGAGTTGAAATGCTGTGTGGTCTGTTCTTTGGTGTGCAATGTTAGTAATTATTATTAATAATAATAATAGCTAACATTGTTGAGTGCATACTCCATGCCAGACATTATGGCAGATCCCTTTACATACAACTCAGTTGATCCTTAAAATAGTATCATTACTTGACTGGTCCCATTTTACAAATGAGGAAACTGAGACTTAGAGAGTGTAGTATTTTGCTTATAGCCACTCAGGTAGAAAATGGTAGTTTTGCTTTTGTTTCTGTTTGTTTTTTGTTTTTTTTAAGTTTATTTATTTTGAGAGAGAGCGAGCATCCAAGCTGGGTAGGGGCAGAGAGAGGGAGAGAGAGAGAATCCTAAGCAGGCTCCAAGGTAACAGCACAGAGCCTAGCATTGGGGCTCGATCTCACCAACTGTTGAGGTGCATGACCTAAGCTGAAATCAAGAGTTGGAAGCTCAACCACTGAACCACTCAGGTGCCCCAAAAATAGGAGAGAGAAAGAGAGAGAGAAAGAGAGAGAAAGAAAGAAAGGGAGGGAGGAAGGAAGGAAGGGGGAGGGAGGGAGAAAATGATAGCTGTTTCTGACTGCAGAACCTCTGCTGTAGTCCCATAATTGCTTTGCTTTAGGCAAACATAGATATTTATTTATAGGGTAATGTGTTACATTAAGTTCTGTATTTTTCTATGATAATGGATTCAGCTGTTAAAATGTTTTCATTCCGTATATTGCCCTGCAAAAGAATAGAAAGGCTTTTGTTCAGTGAAACAGCCTCCATTGTAAGAGGGTAGCTATAAATGGTACTCTTACAGGTGTACCATTTAGGTGTATGAATTAGCAAGCCTGTGATTTCATGCCAATTGGTTTGAAGTATAAAGCTCAAGCAGTAACAATTCAAGTCTTTTAAGTAAATTATGAAATCAATTTTGGTGCCTGTTTATAAAGAATTTTGTTTTATTTATTCACTAAGAACTACAAGAGGAAACATTTGATTCTCGGCATTTAAGAAACTTCTAATTAGTGGGACATTTCCTGTGAAACTGCTCAAATCAACATAGACAGTGAAAGCTGAGAGTGAGGAAAGTGTATGGAAAATTGCGAGGGGGAATGAAGACATTGTAACTCGGGTTTTGAGGAATAGTCTAAGTAGGATGAGAAGTGGGCTTAGAGACTTAGTTTTGGCACAAGTTTCTCTCTCTTTTATTCTGAGTTTCCTCATCTATAAAGTGATAATACTAAAATCTGCCATGCCTAGCTCATTGAATATTTGGTAAGAGAATCAGGAGAAAATATGTTAGGAAAGTACATTATCATCTACATGATCATACTGTATCATTGAGGGAAATTGAAATGAAGCTGTAATTGGAGAGTAACTAACATTTCCTTTTACTTGACATCTCTTGCACTAGGAGAATGCCATTCTGCAGTCATTCAGTCAGTAGAAGATTTGGATTTGTCTCAAGTTCTTCCTTTAGGTCGTCAGCATGGTATCTTAAATAGCCTTGAAATAGTATTGAAGAACATTAGTCATCTGATCAGTGCCTACTTACCAAAGATTTTGCAGATACTGTTGTGCATGACAGCAACAGTCTCACACATCCTTGACCAACGAGAAAAGGTGAGATTCACTGTAGATGTTTTTCTTCCTGGATGAATTATGTGGGTTTGAACTGTGTGGGTCCACTTGCAAATGGGATTTTTTTTTCTGATAAATACAGTGCAGTACTGTAAACGTACCTAATGATCTTCTTAATAACCTTTTCTCTAGCTGACTTTATTATAAAGTAATAATACAGAATTACAAAGTATAATACATATACAAAGTATATGTTAATTGACTGTTTATGGTATTGGCAAGGCTTTCAATCAACAGTAAGCTATTAGTAAAGTTTTGGGGGAGTTACACATAGACTTGTGACTGCGCAAGGGATCAACACCCCTAACCCTTGCATTATTCAAGGGTCAGCTGTATGTCACTTGTATATTTTAAAAAGAGGTTTAAAAACAGAGTGTGAATTAGTTCTGTATACATCTGAAAAACTAAAGTCAGGGATAGTTGAGCTGATGTTTGTCACATTTTAATTTCAAGAGCCTAGAGGTATAGGACATCTTCCAACTCTCATTTGTCCAGAGTAGTTGGAGAATGAACAGAATACTGTTAGCATCATCCTTGTTATTTTGAGGTAAGAATTGCCGAGAGGTCTTTTCTAAGTAAATGCTTGCCTACTAGGAGTACAATGTTTTGAATAAAGATCAGCAGCCAGACCAGGCGGCTAGCTCAATGCCAGAGGCTTCACAAGGCAGTAAATATTTTCTGAATTGTATTAAAGACAATATATTTATGTTCTGTTGAAACAAGTATACGGGCATAAGTATACTCTCTGGGAAGTCGAGAGAAACCTATGTCTTTATGGACTGAAGGCTTCTTAGAGAAAATGAGACTTGAAGTGCAGATCTAGATTCCCATTTCTGTTGATTCTCCATTAATGCTAAACAGGCACAGTTTTAACTGGGTTAAAAATCTGTTTCATTCATTTGATTTATGGATGTGCATGGTGAACTGTCTCTCAGATATGGTCATGATCACTGAAAATTGACAACCAAAATTTGACGCTGTTTTTTGGGCTATGTGTGGATACAAATCTGCTTTAGTAATGAAATTCTCGATTGCCGAGCTCCAGGGATTTAGAACACACCTTATATTTTGTTAGGCATCATTTTGTTTTCTTTACTCTTTCATTCATTCCTTCCACAAATATTAATTGAGCCCCTTTTGGGTGACAGGCACCATTCTGAGCACTGGAGATGGAATAGTGAACAAAGCAAACAAAACTTCCTGTCCATTCATTTATTCAATACTTATTTCACACCTACCTGCTATCTATCAGACATCATTCTAGGTGGGGAATGAGACAGGTAAGGACTCAGTGTCATGGGGAGAAAGAGAATCAATAAATAAATAATTAGAATAATGTCGGTTGGTGGGGAGTCCCCAGAGGGAAATAAATGAGACCCTCTGCAGATCTGTGAGTCATTCTCTGTGGAGCTCTCTCCTCCCCAGTACTCTGCCTGCAAATTCTTGCTGCCGTGCCTGGACTCTGCCTTCTCACACTAAATCCTGGAACTCCAAGCAGGAAACCGGGGAATGTGTAGGACTCACTTCCTCTGTTGCCCCCCTCTCCCAGGGCTTACTGTCCTTTACTGCCTGCTGTCTAGTATCTGAAAAATCATCATTTCGTATGTTCATATGAATGTTTCATATGTTCAGTTTTTTAGTTGCTTGAGAAGGAAGGCCAAACCTAGTCCTTGTTGATCCATCTTGAACAGATGCAGAAAAACTGCAAGCAGGCAGAGAACAGACCTCCGACTAACACAAGGTTAGGAGCAGCTCAAGTTCCCAATAGCCAGGGCAGAAAGCTCATAATACCCGAGGCACCAGGAAGAGTCCTAGGCAGGGCCTTGCCTCGGTGTTGGAACCAGATTAACTCTGGAATAAAGGCTGCCCTGGCAACACCTACCAAAGCTCACAAAGATCCAACTTCCCAAGTACATTAACTGCTTCTGAGAATAAAATGCAAAAGTTTTCAAATGATTTAAATGAAAATAAAATTCACAGTGTCTGACATCCAGTCAAGTTTTACCAGGCATGCCAAGAAGTAAGAAAATTTTATTCATAATAAGGAAAAAAACAGTCAATAGAAGCAGCACGAGCAATGGTATAGATGATAGAAATAGCCAAAAACTTAAAATAGCTGTTAGAAAGGAATACACTCCGTATATTCACAAAAGTAGAGGAAAACATGAGCATGTTGAGGGACATGAAGATGTGAAAATTTTTAAATAAAATGAGGGGATGTGATAGGAAGTGACAAACAGGGAGTGGATGGTGCTGCTTTTATTAAGGTGGTCAGTGTCTTCTCTAAGGAGGTGATAATTTGAACTTGTGTCTCCCCAGCTGTGGGAAGAACATTTCAGGCAGATAAAATGACCGGTAGTCCCTGAGGTAGAACAGCCTTGGCACATTCTAAGAGACACAAGGGTAAGATGGCTAAAGCACAGGAGCGACAGGACTCGTGTAAGGTAACGTTGAGAGCTGGGTAGGGCCTCTTGGGCTGTGAGCTGGATTTACTCCTAACTGTATTGGGAAACCTCGAAGAGGTTTGAAGCCAGGGAGTGATGAGGTCTGTTTGATGTTTTTAAAATCTCACTTTGATTGCTTTGTGGAAAAGAGGCTTGGGGGGGGGGGGGGGGGGGGGGGGGAGGGGGCAACAGTGAAAGCTGAAAAGAGGTCTTGGAAAAATTCTTTCTCTGTGTTATTTGAGAGCATCAGAGCCATACGAAGACTTCTGTGTGAATTTTCATTTGTGCCTTACAGTGAGTGATAGTGATTTTGTCTACACATGTATATATTAAATCGTGAAAGGTTAGAGGTTTTATAAACTCTGTATAAGTTGTCTGACTTCTTGGTTAACTTAGAAGCAGTTATTCAGTAATGCAGCCTTACTCTTGAGTCAACAGTTAGTAACTCCAAAGACCAATTATGCAATTTCATAGATCATTAGTTAGTGAGGTGCTATTGGAACTTTTTTTTTAAGGTTCTTGGACAAGTTCAAAGAATTCCTTGAAGTGCTGTAATGAATTATTACACAGTAATACTGCTTAAGTGAGTTAAACTTCTACATTTGTGTATTTGAACTAAGTTACACATTTATTTATTTTTATTTTTAATTTTATTTGTGTGTGTGTGTGTGTGTCTTTTAGCTCCTTTAAAACATTGACTGACACTGAAGTATATATCATGAGGGTTGTTGTGGTTTGATTTATTTTGGAATATTTGAACAATGTAGTAACTTTTAAATGTACATGAACTCAGTCATATTGACTGTTCCTCTCGGAGCAAAAGTCTACAATTGCTCGCTTTTAGGGCTTTTCTCAAGTTTACTAAATTATTGAGTAAATTGGGAAGCTGACACTGTAGAAACCAAGTGAGTGGAATGTGTAGATCCTACCCGATGTGGAGGGTGCCTGGTGGGAAGAGGGAAAAGGTGGGGGTGTCTGATTTGACATCATATTTGCTAAGGTTAGTTTCTTATTTTCTCCAGGGGATCATGATACCATATTGTTTCAAATGTAGGTAATAGTTTTTATCTTTTAGCAAACATGATAGACCTCATATTGAAAATATTGCCCGCAGAACTGAAGCAAAGCAGAATGACCTGTAACTGTATCACCTTGTGCTTGCCTGTTATTTCCTGTCGTTGTAATTTGTATAAAGAGATAATTAGCCACAAGTAGATGGTAGAAACCTGGGGGGTATGTGAAATATGATGATTCCTCCAATTTGCATGGTGAAGTAATGACATTGTTGCTCCCATTCACTTGAATTTAAAATGTGTTGTTTTAGATTCAAATACTTCTTTTGATCAAAATATCCAATTTTCATCACAAGTAACCCCCCCATTACTTTTCTTCATAATATCATGGCCATAAAGCTTGATGAAATTCATTATATTAGGGTATTGTGTTGTCTTCACAAATTTCAGAGTGGTTTTCCTCACACTAGTCAGCGTGGCTAAAATGAGCAAATCAGGAAACTAGACACTGGCGAGGATGTGGAGAAATGGGAACCCTCTTGCACTGTTGGTGGGAATGCAAACTGGTGCAGCCACTCTGGAAAACAGTGTGGAGGTTCCTCAAAAAATTAAAAATAGATCTACCCTGTGACCCAGCAATAGCACTGCTAGGAATTTACCCAAGGGATACAGGAGTGCTGATGCATAGGGGCATTTGTACCCAATGTTTATAGCAGCACTTTCAACAGTAGCCAAATCATGGAAAGAGCCTAAATGCCCATCAATTGAGAATGGATAAAGAGGATGTGGTTTATACATACAATGGAATACTACTTGGCAATGAGAAAGAATGAAATCATGCCATTTGCAGCAACCTGGATGGAACTGGAACGTATTATGCTAAGTGAAATAAGTCAGAGAAAGACAGGTATCATATGTTTTCACTCATATGTAGATCTTGAGAAAGTTAACAGAAGACCATGGAGGAAGGGAAGGGGAAAAAAATAGTTACAGAGAGGGAGGGAAGCAAACCATAAGAGACTCTTAAATACAGAGAACAAACTGAGGGTTGATGGAAGGTTGGGGAGAGGGGAAAATGAGTGATGGGCATTGAGGAGGGCACTTGTTGGGATGAGCACTGGGTGTTGTATGTAAGCCCATTTGACAGTAAATTATATTAAAAATTTTTTTCAGGGTGGCTTTTAGATTTCGACATAGATAATAAAGGTCCCTTGTAAAAATAAGTTGCCACTATATATCCAGGGCTCACAGTATGTTAATGAAATGGAAGAACAATGAGGGGTTGCACCTTACCCCATTTGTTTGATTTTTAATAACATTCCGTGCTTGGGAGAAAACTTTCTAGGCTTTTATCTCTCTGCTTGGCCTAAACCTCTTCATCCTTTAAGATCCACTAGAAATTCTGCCTCTCGCATGAAGCATTTATTTCCCTTTTCAAATTTGTAATTCCTCCCCTATTGGCTGTCTTCAGCGTTTTCAGTCTGTCACATAATTTAATATGTTTTCCTTTAGTGAGATTTTAAGCTGAGGTCAGAACTATGGCTGTCATGCCATTGGACTCATTGGTGGGGTCTCAATAAATTATTCTACTCTGAGCCTGAACAAACTGGCCACATAATTGTGATTTTGTAACTCATCAGGAAGGAGATGCCGCTAGGAGTAGCAGTATCTGTTATGAAAGAAGTTTGCTCTTAATTCAAACATCCACCCACTCTAGCCTCTGTGCCTCTAAAGACAAATTTTGATTTTTTTCCCATATTTTTCTTTGAACTGTATATTTTCAGATCATCCCATCCTCAATTTAATCACCTTATTCTCTTATACTGTATGAAGTATTCCACTATATAGACCATACATTCTTTAGTTCCCTAGACTAATTTTTTAACAAGAATAATTGAAAACTCCTAGTTTCAGAAAAAGTAAAAAAAAATAGGGGCGCCTGGGTGGCGCAGTCGGTTAAGCGTCCGACTTCAGCCAGGTCACGATCTCGCGGTCCGTGAGTTCGAGCCCCGCGTCGGGCTCTGGGCTGGTGGCTCGGAGCCTGGAGCCTGTTTCCGATTCTGTGTCTCCCTCTCTCTCTGCCCCTCCCCCGTTCATGCTCTGTCTCTCTCTGTCCCAAAAATAAATAAAAACGTTGAAAAAAAAAAAAAGTAAAAAAAATAAGTTATGAAAACAAAAAAAGAAAGTGACTTTCATTTGAAACAAAGATTTATTTTTCCCCCTAATCTAAGACATTGTGATGGCAAAAAAACTTTTGTTTAGAATGTTCTGTTCATAGGAAGAAATCAGGATTTTATTTGAGACAATTACTGGGATAAAGAAATAAAACAATGCAGGACACAAAACAGCTGTTCCATTTGTGATTTTTTTTTTCCCCTTAAGGACACTTTAACATGATTTTACTAGGCAGTGATAATGGAGCACACCTCACCATTTGACTTTAAGTCTCTGTTTACCCATCTTGTTCAATGAAAAAAGCAATATGATATACTCAGTTGACATTTCCATATGAATCAGAGCCACAGTCAATAGACTTACTAACAGGATTTCCAGTTTGATTCGTAGCCATCTGAGCAAGAGTGCTTCCCTGAGGAATCAAGGATAAAAAGGAAATAGTTTTTTTTTTTAATTTTTTTAATGTTTATTTATTTTTGAGAGAGAGACAGATTACGAGTGGGAGAGGGACAGAGAGATGGAGACACGGAATCTGAATTGGGCTCCAGATTTTGAGATGTCAGCACAGAGCCTGATGCAGGGCTCGAACTCACGAACCAGGAGATCATGACCTGAGCCGAAGTCGGACGCTTAATCAACTGAGCCACACAGGTGCCCTGAAATACGTTTTTTTTGTTTATTGTTTTTTTTTTTTTTTTAAGAGAAGATCTTTCTTTTACAGATACAGCTCAGGTTTATTAACCCGCTGAAAAATTTAAGACGTCTTGGAATCAAAATGGTAACTGACATCTTTTTGGATTGGGAGTCTTACCAATTCAGAACAGAAGAAATTGATGCTGTATTTCATGGTGCGGTTTGGCCCCAGGTAAACATGAGTGTTACATTCTGCCTGGATATCTTCTGCTTCTTCCCTTGTTTTTACTTTAACCAGCTTAGTCTACACCCAGACATGAATGCCTTTCCTGGTCTTTTCTTTTACACTAAGTCTTCCTTTGTTTCTGGAGCTTCAGAGCACTTTTCTTTGCCTCCACTGCCACCTAAAGCTCAAGAGCTGGTTTCTTAATCCCATGACATTTATACTTAAGGTTAATTTGAATATGACGTGTCTCTCAAGCAAATGGAATATAACCGTTCTATCACCTCAGTGATGTGCCTTTGAATTTTGACAAATATACAAGAGAAAATGCACAAGTATTTTTGTTACACATTTCCTTGTTTGTAACCACTTTGTGACGATACCTGGTATAACTAACTAAAAATACTATAGAGGAGACTTGATTTTAGGAAAGATTTCTAGCTGCTTGAGCTCTGTTATTTCTACCCAAATGAAACCTAAAGGACGTCATTCCTTTCAAGTGTCTAGCCCTTCCTTGCACTGCCTTTGCCATCTTCCCTGTGTAGATATTTTGGATTCCTTTGTTTTTTTTCTTTCATCTGTCCTTTATTTATTTATTTATTTATTTTTATTTATTTTTAATTTTTTTTTTAACTTTTTTTTTTTTCAACGTTT